ATAAAGAATCTTCACGTAGAACTAAAGCCAAACCTTTTTTTTGGTAAGAGTAAGGCCCCTTTCACACGGGCTGATCAGGAGGGTAGCAGTGCACATACGGGGCAATACGGATCGGGGCAGTACGGATTGGATGTCACTCCTGTGACATCCGTGTCCATCCAATTTGTTTACCTCAATCATGAGACATGTGTCTGTTTATATCAGACTATCCCCAATTCGGCACAATCAGGTCTGGCAAATGGAACACTGTTCCGTTTGTTTTTCCAGACCTGGCTGTATTTGGGGGGTAACCAGGTATAAACGGACGCCAAATCTGTTTAAACCCGGCTATCCTTAGACTAGCATTGGGCTTTCGATCGGGTCCGCCTGTCAGTTTTTCAGACTGCCCTTGTAAAAAGGGCCTAAGGGAGGGTTATAACCCCGTCTGTGTCCCATTGGGGAGATTTCTAGGGCTGCAGCTAACGATTATTTTCAATATCGATTAGTTGGCCGATTATTAAGTTTGATTAATCGGTTAATCGGATAAAAAAATATATACATTATACAGGTGGTTAATATATTATTGCTGGGATTTGTTGTTCCTCTATAGCTGCTGGTGTTCTGCAGTGTGCCGCTTTTTTTTTTTATAAACAGGAAACATTAAAACAGTTGCCCCTTACCTGTTTCTGAACCCTTGTAAGTCGCTGCAGTGGCGGCGGCGTGCTCTGCGTGCGTATGTCCGGCTTAGCTTGTGTGCGGCTTGTGCGGTGGGCGTGACGTACGCGCCGTGCATAGGGTAGCTCCTTTATGAAGCCGTGAACAGGCGGGCGTGAGCGGCGAGCGGGAAATTTAAATTTTAGGCGACGAATCGACAATGGAAAACGTTGACAACGTTTTCCATCGTCGATTCGTCGGCTAAAATTTTAACTTAATCGAATAATTATTGCAGCTCTATAGATTTCCTTTCACCTGCTGCTTGATAGCCATAACAAGATGCGAGAGGAAAGTCTTCTAAAGTAAGGGAAATCCTTGGTGGTCACCAGTGTTACCAAAACTACTGTCTCCATTGGAAGACTTGCCCTCTATTCCTCTTATGATGACAACTTTAATTTTTCCACTCTAAATCTCGGCGATAACAGTCACTAGGATAAATAAAGTGAATCTCCCTAATGAAGACAAAGACAGCAATAAAATCTGACAGATGTTCTAATCCCCCTCCACTCTATCAACAACAAAAAAAAGCTTTTGCTTCAGTTCTACCTTATCCTAAACCAGGGCTCAAATTATACACTTGTGCTCATAAGTTTACATACCGTGCCAGAGTTTATGATATCCTGGTCATTTTTCCGTGATGGGTCACTCATGGGTAGTGTTTGGCTGAAGCCATTTATTATCAATCAACTGTGTTTACTCTTTTTCAATCATAATGACAACAGAAACTACCCAAATGACCCTGATCAAAAGTTTACATACCTCAGTTCTTAATACAGTGTGTTGCCCCCTTTAACATCAATGACAGCTTGAAGTATTTTGTGGTATGTGTGAATGAGGCTCTTTATCTTCTCAGATGGTAAAGCTGCCCATTCTTCCTGGAAAAAAGCCTCTGGGTCCTGTAACTTCTTGGGCTGTCTTGCATGAACTGCACGTTTGAGATCTCCCCAGAGTGGCTAAATGATATTGAGGTCAGGAGACTGAGATGGCCACTCCAGAACCTTCACTTTATTCCGCTGTAGCCAATGACAGGTCGACTTGGCCTTGTGTTTAGGATCATTGTCATATTGGAATGTCCAAGTACGTCCCATGCGCAGCTTCCAGGCTGATGCATGCAAATTGTCCTCCAGTATCTTTTGATAACATACTGCATTCATCGTGCCATCAATTCTGACCAACTTTCCTGTGCTTTTGTAGCTCACACATCCCCAAAACATCAGCGATCCACCTCCGTGTGTCACTGTAGAAATGGTGTACTTTTCATCGTAGGCTTTTTTGACTCCTCTCCAAATGTAGTGTTTATGGTTGTGGCCGAAAAGCTCAATTTTGGTCTCATCACTCCAAATGACTTTGTGCCAGAAGGTTTGAGGCTTGTCTCTGTGCTGTTTGGCGTATTGTAAGCGGGATACTTTGTGGCATTTGCGTAGTAATGGCTTTCTTCTGGCGACTCGACCATGCAGCCCATCTTTCTTCAAGTACCTCCTTATTGTGCATCTTGCAACAGCCACACCACATGTTTTCAGAGTGTCCTGTATTTCACCTGAAGTTATTTGTGGGGTTTTCTTTGCATCCCGAACAATTTTCCTGACATTTGTGGCTGACAGTTTAGTTGGTCTACCTGACCGTGGTTTGGTTTCAACAGAACCCCTCATGTTCCACTTCTTGATTAGAGTTTGAACACTGTTGATTTGCTTTCTCAATTCCTTGGATATCTTTTTATGTCCCTTTCCTGTTCTATACAGTTCAACTACCTTTTCCCGCAGGTCCTTTGACAATTCTTTTGCTTTCCCCATGACTCAAAATCCAGACACGTCAGTGCAGCACTGGATGAAGGATGCAAGGGTCTGTCAGGAGGCCAGAAACTCATTGGCCTTTTATACACACACACTGATTACATGCAAACAGATCACAGGTGAGGATGGTTCCCTTTAATAGCCATTCACACCCCTTTGTGTCAACCTGTGTGCATGTTATCAGGCCAAAATCACCAGGGTATGTAAACTTTTGATCAGGGTCATTTGGGTAGTTTCTGTTGTCATTATGATTGGAAAAGAGTAAACACAGTTGATTGATAATAAATGGCTTCAGCCAAACACTACCCATGAGTGACAGAAAGGTTTTCGTGTTATCATTCATATTCTCTGAAAAATGGCCAGGAAATCATACATTCTGCCAGGGTATGTAAACTTATGAGCACAACTGTAGTCATAGAAGGCTATCAGAGGCCATGTGATTGATTTAGGTAAATTGTATCTAACAACTGAAACTTTTTTTGTAGTCTTGGATAGAATGGGGAAGGGTTTAGAACCTCTGTTTGGTTTGTGTTGCTGTCTTAGTCTCTGCCATGAAATTCATCTTCTTTGTCCTAGGGACCAGTGTCAGCAGGACAGAAAGTAAAGAAAACTCTAAAATTTTGAGTTGTCACATTTGGGAAAACTTTCTTTCACTTTCTATTGTGTCTCTAGGAAACGAAGTGAACGTAAATCTACCCGATGAGACACAACAAAAAAAGGCTAACCGGTTTTAAACCTTCCCTACTTTATTCAGAACCTAAAAAAAATGTTTAGCTTTGCACAAACATTAAAGAAGTTTGATATGCATATAAAGTTTTCCTATTGGACTGTCTGCAGGACAGAAATTAACTGACAGGGGTGTTAACATTCCCTGCTCTATCCAAAATATTATAACACGTTTTGGCTTTAGATGTACTTTAGATTGAATGTTTACTTTAGATTGAATAGTTCTCTTTTGGGTCACAGGAGGACACAAAGTCAGCATCTAGTGGGCTACTGCAAACCATATGCTGACAACATAGAGACGCGCTGCAGCCGGGAAAGAATTTTGGCGGGATCCATCCTGCTGTTTGATTGACAGCTGGCTCTGCCTCTAGAGCCAGAGCCAGCTGTGCCCCCCCTGCCCCGTGTGTCCCTCCAATGAGCGCAGGAGGAACAGAGAGAGGGGAGAATCCCTGCGGGGAGCGGAGACTGACAGTCACCACACTCTACACTGAGAAGGCATGATCTGAGTGATTAGCAGTTTGTGATCACTCAGTTCTCAAATAATAGTTCTCAAACTATTGGGAAGAGTACATTTTCTCTCCTGATTCTCCTTTAAATACCTGATCATATGAAAGAAAAAAAAAAAAAAAGTGGATGTTTTCATATACATGATTGAATGACTGCAGGGGAACAAAATGTTATATTTTTCATGAAGCTCAGGGAATATTCACTATGCTTAGTGAACTTTCACTTTCTGAAATGAACAGTCTCTACTCCTGCAGTAAATCAACCATGTTTTCAGAGAACAAACATCTTATTCAATGTTTTTCTTACACTATCAAGAAAAGTAAGGCATGAAAGAAACTATTCAAGAGAGCTTATGAAGAATGTTTCTTGATGTACCATCCCGTGATGTGCCACCAGGCACCAGCATGTAACTTTGGACTTGATCAGTATCAAGAGCTTTTTGTGTGTAAATATCGTGCTCTGTATATCACAGCCTATATTAAACAACAAATAATCCTGTTACATACAGATATAATTATAAAGGTGTCGGGGTGTGAGTCTAATTACAAAATGTTCCTAACCGGTTTGTCAGTTGTTTGCTTCTGTCCTGTTGCAATGGAGTCTGGCCAGTTATAAGCTGGTCTTACACAGCTCAAGTTCGAGCATTGAATGGTCCTGTTGGCCCCACCCGGCTCGAAAAACATTGATTGAAAAATGAAACAAGATGGGTGGAAAATTGTTGGCCGAACTGTGAATGTGGCCAATTAGCTGCAGCCACCATTCGGGTATTTAAGCGTTTGCCCTCCGGCATCTGTTTGAGTGCAGTAGCCGGCAGGGGAGATTCCCCCATCTCTGAGAGTGGTGAAATTAGATGTTAGACATTGCTTCTACATTTGAATGTCTTGGACTATTTAAAGTCCATCAGTGATGCATGCTGGGAAATTGCAGCAAGTTTGCACAAGTGCACTGAACCTGTACTGCAGTAGTGAACAGGATGCTCATACACTCAGAAATATTTATATATGTCTGATGAATAAAGAATACAATAGTATATATGTCTGATGAATAAAGAATACTGTAGTAAATATAACATAGATTTGCTGTTTGGTTCTATGCTTTGCTCTTCTATAGATTTAATATACTATAGCTGTTGTTAAGGTACAGTGACTAAAGCACTTTGGAGTTAAAGTTAGGTAAGAGGTGAGTGGATGGCGAGTGCCCTGCGTGTTAAGCTGTTTGTTAAGAGAAAGAAGTTTGAAGGCTTTGCCAGCGTGCTCTGAATAATCAGGCCTGCTTCTTTTGTAGAATGTACTGAAGGAGCTAGAGAGGAGGAAAGCTGATCTGAACAGCGTGACGGAGAGTAGTGCAGCACTCCAGTGCCTAGTGGAGGGAAGCGAGATCATCTTGGAAGAAAAGCTGTGTGTCCTCAATGCTGGCTGGAGCAGAGTACGTACCTGGACAGAGGATTGGTGCAATACTCTGCTGGTAAGTAAGCAGCAATGCTAAAGCTTGACAAACAGACTCTAATAGCATTAACTATTAACACTTTTCAGTCTTCTCTGTGTTTTTTTTTTTTTTATGAACACACATGTTCCCTAGCTCTAGAAAATATCTGACAGCATCCAGATTTGATTTACTGCTGATGTATGCACAAATCTTTTCACACCTTAAATAGCATCCTTTGATAAATATGTGAAACCTCACGTTCGGGTGTCTGGAAAGAATCATTTCAAGTGATAAAAGAGAACAATGCTTTATTTATTTCACTGCTGCTATATAATTTGTATTGTTTGTTCCACACAAAAAGCTTTGTGAATTCATATTTGATATGTTTCCTTTTTTGGCTTGTTAATCTAATGTTTTGAGTCGCTATCAAGCAATTCATTTTTGCTGACCTGTTGCTTCATTATATGTGCCCTGAATTCTACACCATCCACCAATGTCACCATTCAGTGCCAGCCCTGTAAATTTACACTTATTAAAGGCCATTGACTTGACTGCTTTCAGCCAATGACCCATTTCTGTGTTTTGTTAGAATCACCAGAGTCAGATGGAGATTTTCGATGAGAATGTTGCTCACATAAGCACTTGGCTCTATCAAGCAGAAGCCCTTCTGGATGAGATTGAGAAAAAGCCAGTGATTAAGAAAGAAGAAACTGTGAAGGTAATGTTTCACTGACACTGAACGCTGAATTCCCTGCATGTATAATGCTTTGTGGCTTGGCCTGTGTTATGGCCACTGACACAGTGCTGGATTACTTCTTGTAAGACAGGACTAACTTTCTTAGACATTTAACTTCTGATTTACCCAAAAAGCATCTTATAGTTACAAAACATCAACTGCAACTTTCTGCAGCTTGTATGAAATGTAAAAGAGTCTGAAACAAAAAAAAACACCTTTTTAAAGGTGCTGAAACTTTGGTCAGGAATGATCATATGATAAATATGCTATGTAGATAAGATAGATTCTATGTCTGAGCATCAGCATGGGTATATGTCTTGTTTATATTAGCCTTGTAAATAAAAACTCAGAGTATTATTGTCACAGGGGATGTTCTAAATCAGGAGTGCTGTACCATAATGTCATTTTCATTCTCATGAGTGAAAATTAAAAAGTATTTTTATAAAGTCCAATATCGGCTAAACACTTTATATTGATGTTTCTGCAACTACAATGATTTAGTGCGTAAGACATGTGTGGTGTCCAGTGGAACAATGTGAATTTTAATGTATATTGTTATGATTGTTCCTGATTGTAAAATCTCCTTTAGATCCACCCACAATTATGTAGTACAGAGGCCTGACGGATTGAATAAAAACTGAATAGATTGTGTATGTAGGACTTTGCATTACACAGTGTTGGTAAACTTAAAAGAGGTTGTACAATAAGATTATAATATGTATGACCAGCTTAATCCAGTTTGCAATTTTTCTACTAAGAGACTCTGTTAGAAGTTAGAGAGTCCCACCACACTCCTGACCGAGAAGCCCCATACAATGTGGGGGGCGGGGGGTGCTGAAGTGGCGCAGACGGCACCGCCAAATACTTGCAAAACAGAAAAATGGTCACCAGTCATCAGTTTTGTTTGCCTGATGAAGGGACCGGACAGGTTCCGAAATGTTGCCACGCATGGTGATATGACCTGTGAGAATGAATAAAAGGATTTAGTTTTGAAGAAAACCTGGAGTGCTGGTGACCATTTGTCTGTTCTGTTAGAAGTTAAGCCCACTTGACAGTGACATTTTCTTTTTAAATGTAAGCTGGTGATTTGAATCACCCAACGGCTTTTTATATGTTTCTGGGATTCCATCTTCTTGCTAAGGTACCCAACTTATCTCCCAACATGACCAATACAAAGTCAGATATGGAAGTTTCTCTCTTACTGCAGCACTCTTGAAATCGGACCTTTACCCCCTTTCTAAAAAAAAAAAAATTACATTAGCATACACCTCTGCATGCTGATATCAAATCATCATACATTCATTAGTTAAACAAACATATTTTAATTCTATTTACAATTTCTTGTTTTCTACTGCCTGGTTCCCTTTTGCAAAATTGATGTAATGTGCCCAAGCATTGCACCCTGGGAAGGTTACATCAGCAGAGCTTTGCAGGGAAATCTCATCTGTAATCTCACGAGATCTCAGGGAAAGGCATTTTCCTCCCCATAGATGATGGATGTGCATAGTCACATGTCCTAGTCACATGTGCCACGGATCCAGGAAGTAAAGGGAGATGGATTCCTCTGCCCTTTGTAAAAATGGCCACTGTGAGAAGAATAGAGAGGAAAAGAAAAAGAAGGCATGCAAATTATAAAAAGCTGGCAATTATCTAGAAGTATGTGTTTGTCATTACTAAACATTTCTAAATCTGCCTTTGTTGTTATTTTGAACATGGGTAAAGTTCCTGTTTAAAGATTCCCCGTCCTGGTAAGAGGTGTGAGAAATATAGGAGTCCTTCGGGTAATTAATTCCTCCGGCACCAGGCGGCCTTTAGTGAGAATCTGTTTTGACCCTCCATACATGTCTCAAATGTATGCTAGGTGTCTTCTTGTTAAGATGCCACTCTCTGGCTCTCGAGTATGATTCCAGTGACAGTGGAGCAGCCACACTATATGACCCATGCCCCATAACCAGCATGTATTGGCATCTGTCATGACAGATTCTCTTTACAAATATTTTACATTTTAAATCCTATTATTATAACCTCATATGCATTTTATATAGACTCAGACTTAATTAATTTGAATATATCAGATTTCTTACTGACTCTAATGCAGCATACATACATACAGGAGTGTGTCTCAGAATATATACATAATTATCATGCCTATTATCTAATTTCAGCGCCTGCTGTCAGAGCTGGATGATGTCAGCCTTAGAGTAGATAATGTTCGTGACCAGGCCATAATTCTCATGAACAGCCGTGGAAATTCTTGTCGTGAACTGGTAGAACCAAAGCTGGCTGAACTGAACCGCAACTTTGAGAAAGTCTCTCAGCACATTAAGGCTTCCAAGGTAACAATAACCTATGCCATTGACCAGAATGTTCCCTTTTCACTGTATATGTGTAAATGTATATTAGGAATACAGGATGATTTATGAAAATGCAGACATAACTTACATTCTGGCTTTTAACATGTGATATTCATGAGTGTTGAAGGAGAACTTATTACAGTTTCTGTAATTCCACTAAAGGCATTATTGCACAAATCAGATGTATTTAGCACAAAATTTTTGAGGCACACAAAGACTATCAAACAGTTTATAGCTCAAGAATGTGTCTGTTGTAAAAGCCAGGAGAGCTGCTTGAAATGGTAATTAAGCAATGCTTTTTGAGATAATATAACAATTCATGAGAAATTAGGGCCTTCCACAGTTAAATCCCAATTTCATGTAAAACAACAAAGATTCCACACCTAAGCAATAAAAGGCATGTGAAATTAAAATTTTTAGGCAAAAATGATCATAAGGTGACCTATCTAATGAAATTAACATAACTCATCCATCTTAATCGGGATTATTTAATAATGCAATCAACAAAGTGCAATGACCATATCAACTGACTGTAATTCATCTTTCATCAGCGTGATTGCTTGTTATGGGTTACTACATATGTACTTCATCACTGCTAGCTACACTACCTTATTTAAAAATGTTCTGCTCTTCCTGTGTTATGGGTTACTGCATTTGTACTTCATCACGTCTATCTACACTACCTTATTAATTACCTTCCTGTAGATTTATCCAGTCCAGTCTTAAAGCTCTTGATAACTAGAACTACTTATTCTGTAGGGTACATTCTGTTCCAGAGCTCCTTTTTAATGCTTACATACTTTGTGAAATTCAGTGGCTTGGGAGCTCAAGGAACCCAGCAGGTCTTCCGCCTACACTTCATGCACTTTGGTGTCAAAGTGGCCTAACTGATCATGATATTTTCCCTCACAGTTTGGCTGATCCACTTTTCTGCTCTGTGAGTGATATCTTTTGCAGGGCTTTGAATGGATTGACAGCTTGTGATACTAATAAAAATGGGCCTCTGTTGTGTACTTCATTTTATATAGTACATTACAATACAATACAATACAATACAATACATTCATTTTACAAAGTCATGCTGATTCTTTTATGGGCTGTCAGACAATATATGTCTTCTCCTCTGTGGAGTACCGTATATACTCGAGTATAAGCCGTCCCGAATATAAGCCGAGGTACCTAATTTTAAGAGCAAAAAAAATGAAAAGAAAATCTCGGCTTATACTCGAGTATATACGGTAAGCTAGCTTGGTAGAACAGCAGAAATACGGTTTGCTGTTGGTTTTTCTGCTGAGAAATGTACTGTAAGATAATGCAATAATTTATCATTAAGCAATTACATTTTTGCGTGCCTAGCTGTAGCTAAATGCCTAATGTGAAACTAGTGATTCTGTTATTTACTACTGATGTAGGACATGAAGCCTTTAGTGGGATAGAATTGAATAGGGTCAGTAAGTTAAACTGATAAAATTGGTAAAGCGGTCTTAGGCGGGTCTTGTTACATAATCTGTATGGGTATGTGTAGTATGCTTTGTTTAATGTTGTGTCCTTTCCAGATGCATGTGAGTCATGATGCCTTAGCACAAAGCCCATCAGAAGTATCTGTACCCACTGAGGTCACAGCTGTTGAACTTGAAGTCTTCGAGTCTGAGCTTCTTGTCGTCCAAAAGGTTCTGGAGAGGTGTCTACAGTCAGCTGCAGAAAGTGAAAAGGTGAGAACAATAGATCAACTTAAGGTCTGAGTGCAGCACAAAGTTTCTCTGCAGGCTGATTTGGCTACTGGGAATGTTGCCATTTCCACGGGCTAACGCTTGTGTGTTATGCTTGATTTCAGTTAGCATGAAAGACAGTATACTGTCCTTACTGGACCAATCACACATAGGCTAAATTTGAGAACGTTTCAGCAAAGATTGTAAGCAATTTAATGATAGGAACATGTCTTGTGTGACATGGGTGATTTTGGGGTAATTAGTCATTTTTATCATTATTTTTTTAACAGTAACTTAAACATGTTCATATGCAGAGAATGATTTACTGAAAAGGTGGAAAGTCTATTTTGATTAATCCATTCCATTGGTTTTGTACCTAAAATGCTGGCATGTCATATTCTTCGATTTTTTTGTTTATCTTAAGTAAATCCTCCCAAAAATTGTCCAATTTATAGCTACCTGAAAGGTTATACTTAAAAACATGATAGATTTCTGGGGCTTCCAGTCTCCCTCCTAGTCTTATACTCACTTGTCTCTGATCCAGTGAGAGACTGCTAATTGCACAACTGCTTTTAAAATGTCCTGCCTGTGCCCATACGCTTTCTGGAAAGTTTCAGCAATGCACTGTAAATGTGCCATTGTGGCGGGAGTGCAAAATCAGTGCCCCCACAACATCCATATATATGCTAGAGAACACTGCTGAGCACTCCATAAACATGCCAGCTTATCATATACTTGATCTGAAAGAAGATATAAGGGATGAAGCACAAAAGGGAGTGGAGTAAGGGGTGCTAGCACTTCCTTATTAGTGGATTGTTTTTCTAACCGCCCAATCTTTAGTTCCCCCTAGTAGCAACTGCCCAGAGGTCTTGGGTGACACGCACATTCTTGATATTGTTGCATTATCAGGGCGCAAATGGTTAAGCCATGCAAATGCTTTCTCATGTCTATGGATGTCCTAAGAAATGATATAACAATCGTACCAGACATGGAGCATTTATACCTTTACCTGTAATCTCAAACAAGGTATTCTGATTGTAATGTAACCTATACATTGTACAAGTACTTATAAAGGACTTGTAGTGCTGTCACTTCTTCTATATGGAGTCCAAAAGATTCCCTTCTACTGGATAACAAATTAGGAGTGCTGAGGGAAATTGCTTAGTAATTGCACATTGTATGAGACAGGCTGCCCATAGAAGGCAGATACAACAACTGCCAGATTTCCGCACTTGTTGCATTTGCATTACTTTCCCCCTTAAATTTGCTCTGACTTCACTATAACCACTTGAGCAAATCTTCCAAAAACATTATATGTCCATTTGACTTATTGTTTGCATATTTACCTGTAAAAACCTCCCCTGTGTAGTAGGGATGTTCAGATACCAAGTACCGTACTCTGTACAAGTATAAGTACTGATACTTTTCCAGCTCCAGGACTAGACTAGAGAAACATTCAAAAGTTAGGAGGCAGCTGTCATTTTTAAGGATCATACGGAGCTCCTGGGATTTGTACACGCCCATTTTAATGCATTATTTATTTTTTATAAATATGTATAAGTGATGCACCGATACCATTTTTCCAAGTACAAGTACTGATACTTGTCCAAGTACTCACAGATACAAGTACTGATACATTTTTGTTTATTGTCATGTGACAGTTTTTCTAAAACAATACAGACTAATGATTTCAGGACAGTGGTGGAGAGCCAGAGCCAGGTTCCAGCTGCAACCGCTGCAACCCGGGTAGTTCTCGTGAAAATGCCAAGTATCGGCACTGGTATCTGGACATCCCTACTGTGTAGTTATCCAAAAGGCCTGAGACTTCGCTGGTCGCCGCCATCCATGGATGCCGCCATGGATGCGATGTCAGCAGCCCCAGCAGACTGAGAGCTGTCACTGAAGCGACACTATAGTATTGTTCTTTACTAATTCCACAGCTGCTACATAAAATGTTATGTAGGGAAATGAGGGAAGAGAGGACGAGCTATCTGCACAGAGAGTAATTAGACACTCCCCGAAAAGATGAGGCCTATGACTTGCAGGGAGAAAGTGTGCTGTGCTAGGAAATTGACACTTGGAATAGTCACATTTTTTTTTTTTTAAACTATAAATATTTATTAAAGTCAGAAGGGCGTATACAAGTTGCAAAAAAAGCACAATATGCAGTGTTTTGCATGTTAAAACAATTAAACAAGGGTAAGGTTCAAATGGGATAGAGCATAGTCAAACGGAATTGGGCATATGTGCAGTATGGAAGATTATGTAGGATATAGGAAGGCTAATGTGTGGTATGGTACATCTGATATACAGAGTCAAGTACCAGAGGTAGGAAGAATAAAGCAAGGATCAAGTTCAGTTCGGGCAAAGTGCTTCAAATATTACTAGGGGACAGCCAGTAGTGTGCGAGAAGGGTATGGTTAACAGGTTAAGTCACTTGAATGATGCATTCTTCGTGGGTAAGCCAATGGGACCAATTTGATTTGCATTTGCTCCATGTACAGTTAGATTTTGCAAATAGACATTCAAAATGAGCATTGGTGTTTAGGATATCTGTCAAGGATTGGAGAACCGGGGGTTCCTTTAATTTCCACGATCTTGCTAAAGCTAATCGTGCTAAAGGCATGGGACACAAAAATGCAGCTGTCAGGTGGCCAAGATTCCAAGCCTATTCCGAAAAGAGCAAGAGCAGGATCACATGGAATAGGAACAATAGAGGAGATAATGTGGAAGACTCCTTTCCAGTATGACATTAGTTTATCACAGAACCACCAGATATGAGAAAGGGATCCTACTTGCCCACAGAGCCTCCAGCATAATGGTGAGGATGTAGGAAACACATTTGTGAGTCTCTGGGGAGTGTAGTACCATTTATGGAAGAGCATCTGTGCAGATTATCAATGGTTTATGCATTTTGAGGATTTGGAGGGCCAGTTGGGAATAGTCAAGTTTTTTTAGCAAGTTCAAAAGCATATTGCAAGTGATTACAAAAAAATATTTATGGAAAAGAATTAAATTGCAAGTATTTCAAATATTAGATTGTTTGTGCTTTTGCCCCAATGTTTTAGGTTTGTGACAAGGTATCTTTAAGCCAATCCAACCAAAGACTTATGTTCCATACAACCAGACACTGTAACCTTAGGGTTTCTGGGCAGCCAGCCTTTATTTACATCCTTGAAGCTAAGAACTGGAACATGAAGTTAGAGGATCAATTTCTTTTCTAAAAAACTAAACTGTTTGCAGAGGTTAGGAGCTGTTTGCAAGTAATAAAACAAATCACTATAGTGTGTAACTCCAGTTTTGCTGAGAAAAAAAACAATCCTCTCTATGTGATATATATATTGCAAGTATTTTAGAAAGCTTTTGCTGCAGGCTTATACCTTTCAGTTCTAAAGAAATTTCTGTTTGCTGGGGGCCTTTCCACGCCATAATGCAGATTACTGCAACGCATAATAACACCTTGTAGATTTTCATTGCAATGCAAAGATAATTGCACCCCAACCAACATCTGCAGTGTGCTGCAATGCATGTGCAATACAGCTCACTACAATGCACAAATGCATGTGCTATGTGTATTGCATTGGCCCGTACTGAAAAAAATGTATGCAGGACCTATTTGTTCACGTGTTGAAGTGCTTAAGCAACCCATTTAGAATAGGCTGCTTTACACAATGCACCGTGTTATAGAGTGAATAGACCCTCACCATAAAAATATGCAGATGTCTTGCCGCACTCCTTACCGGATATCCCAATAGAAGATGGGTGCTGAACTGACTGCGACTTCCGTCATAATAACTGCTGAGGAACCCTAATATCCTAATGAGCAAGATGCCAAAGATGAGACTCCTGTTGCAAGGCAAGCAGAGTACCAATCACGCCCATGGGGACTAACACTTTTGGGGACATGTATACCAACAGTTTATGGAATGTCTCCAAGTTGCCATACTGAGAATGTGACATCTGATTTTTTTTATTTTTTTTCCCAAAAATTACTTCTTAGCATCTTCGTACTGAAATTGAAACATAATTTTTCTGTTTCAATTTGGCATTCATTTATATAATTCATCTTTTACACTTCCCAATCATTTTTAAAAGTGAGTACATCATATGAACTGCTTTAAAATGATGGTCCATGTAATGGACTTCTCACAAGCAAATAAGGGTCCTTTAGAGCCTTGGTTCTCAACTGGTGGGTCATGACCCAAAAGTGGTTTGCAACCCTGTGTTCAATGGGTCACTGTATGCCTTCCACTTTTCAGGATAAGAGGCTTTCTCCCTTTTGCAGAACTGTCAGTTCTCACACCAAGCAGCCATTCAAAATATCCATTTATACCCATAACGCCCTTGTGTGCCCTGTAGAGGTGCCTGGACCAGAGTGATGTCACATTCTGGCTCCCGGAACCTCTACAGGGCACGCAAGGGAGCTGTACAAGCATTGCACATATGGATGAAGCTCCATCACAACACAACAGCCCACATTGGACCCCAGGCTGAGGATCAACTCTGGTTTTGTAAGGTATGCAGACTGGGCGGATCTTTTGAATGGCATCCCAAATGCAGCTCCCACCCACAGTTCGATTGCAACGCACCGGAACGCGCGCTACCGCAATGCTGTGCGTTCCATTGGGGGTCCATTGGGTCGCGACTTAATGACCAAGGACAAATGTGGGTCCTGAAGTTACACAGGTTGAGAACCACTGCTTTAGAGGATCTTAGAGGATAGGAATTATTATATTGTTTTTTATTAGATTGATGACAAAAATACCAATATTGAAGACATTCTACTCAGAGGAGAACAGCTTCTGCAGCAGCCAATGGATGACATCCAGAGAGAGAAAATCCGACTGGAACTGCTTCTTTTACAGACAAGATACAATAGCGTCAAGGTTGGAATCAAACATTATTCTGTTTCATGCTCCGTTGGGGTGTTTTAGATTTCAGGGATATTAACAGAACATTCTTTAAATCCCAGATACAGTGTTTGTCATAATGTAGTTGTTTTGACTCTAATTAGATTAGATGTTTTATTTTACTAGTTTTTATTACAGCCCCTGCGTCTTAATAGAAAGGCTGAATATTTACCAGGATAGGCTCTTTTATATCTAATTTTCCAGTTAACTGGCTCATGCAAGAGGCACCCTACACGTTTCCACTCAGTCATTATCCAGTTTTCATAGACAACAAAATAAAAAGACAGTCACATTGCAGCCATATCTGCCTAGGTATTAGATTAAAGTGCAACTTTTTCTTGGTTGCCTGAATAATCCATACTTTTTTGCAGTGCTTTCTACATTTGGTCACATTTAGTGTATAGCCAAATTGGTAAAGAGTAAAGAGTAGGACTCCTGCAGCTCCTGAAACGTAACTCACATTTGTTTGGCAGACCCAGCTGCCCATGATAAGGCCAACTTTATTATTCTTGTCTTAATCTAAGTAAAATAAATGTATGTAACTAGGACAATGTTATTCAATGTCAAAACACACTACCTTTTATAATGGCTGTGTGTTCTTAATTTTACCATTATATTTAACCCTTGACGGGTCCTCAAGGGGTTAAACAGAAAAGTCGCCGGGACTCTGTGCATATTTGTAGAGCCAGCGGCCGGCTTTACAGTAGAAGCAATTCTGGCGACTCGGCTGTTGCCAAATCGCTTCTACAGGCTGATAAAGTGCTTAAGGGGTTATTCACTATAGAGCCAAAGGATTTAGCCGAACGGTCAGATAATCCTTTGGCTCGCTTCTGCTGCAGGAACCCTTCGGCTCAGTCGAACCGAAGGGCTGCTGTACGCGCTTCTCACAATAGCCCGTACAGCAGCCAAAGGCAGCCGCAGTAAACAGACAAGCCGAACGCACATGCTTCGAACACACAGCGGAGCGGGGAGAACGGTTTGCCGAAGCGGATCGAATTCCCCTGCAAGTTGTCAAAATATGGATTAAAAAAGACAAACCAGCGTGGGATTCCTCTCCCAAATCATACCAGACCCTTCAGGTGTGGTAGGAATGTTAGACGGGAATCCCGATGTAAAAAAAAGCATACTGTACATAATATCTTGCTGACCACCCTTAAGAAAATGAATACAAGCTTTGCTTTTTTATTGCAAATATATTTATTTACTTTTATTTATTCCATGTCATTCTAATTGTGTTATATCACTGTGTCACCACTTGAACCAGGTCAAAGCCTGGTTATGGTTATAACTATTTGATATAAATCCATGAGGAATGCTTAATGGTTAAATATCATAGCTTGAAATCTGAACAAGGCCGTAATCCAGATATTGGCATCACTAAGCAGGAAGATGATAACTAGTTGAGAATGGTTTCTGTCAACATTTTCTATGTTTCTTTTCACAGTTCTGTGTAGTAGTAATTATCAGATATATTAGTATGCTTTCAATAGTGGTTTCATACATACATAATGCTTTTACCTGTAACTCAGTCGAAACATGATATACTGTATAGCACATACAGTGAATGTTTTTTCACTGCTTTAACAATTTTTGGTGTTACTTTGGTGTTACTCAGGAACTCCAAACGGTTAGGAGAAGACAAGAAAGTAAGCTGTCTCCAGTCACTGCTCAGAACGAACAGGAAGATCGCTTCTTCTCCTGGATTAATGAGACTGAGCATCGCCTGTCTGGCCTTCAAGATGCAGAGGATGAAAAGAGACTTCAGGTGGGATAGTCCTGATGTCTGTCTGCATATACTGGAAAGGCATAGATTTTTTTTTTCTGTTAGAGTGTAAGAGAAAGTGTTATGTGTTTTTAATTAAAACTATACATGATCTCTGCTCCTGTGGTGTAAACTCCACCTGATCTCTGGTCCTTTGGTCTAAACTCCACCTGATCTCTGCTCCTTTTGTCTAAACCCTACCTGATTTCTACTCCTGTGGTGTAAACTCCACCTAATCTCTGCTCCTGTGGTCTGAAGTCCACCTGATCTCTGCGGCTGTGTTTTAAAGTCCACCTGATCTCTGTTCCTGTTCTCTAAAGTCTAGCTGATCTCTGATTTTACATTCTAAAGTCTGCCGAATCTCTGCACCTTTGCTCTAAACACCGTTAACTTACTTGCCTCACTGGGCTCTAAAATCCAACTGATCTCAGTACCTGAGCACACAGGTTGTGTTAGTGGATGATTTAGACAATCAGTGCCCAATTATAAGTAAAATGGCAGTTTTAGGCCAACACTTCAAATAATATACTCTGTCATCATAGCTTGAAATCTCAAGAGGGCCATAATCCATACATTGGTATCACTTCACTAAATAGCAAGACAATACCTTGTTGAGGTGAATGGTTTCTTTCAACATGTTCTATGTTTCTTTCCACAGTTTTGTATAGTAATAATTATCAGATATGTTAGTGAAGTTTCAATAAATATGTTATAAATACCTAATCACTGCTGCCTTGGATAGTCTATGTCTAGTTTGTCTGCTTGCTATTAGTAAATTGTAGACATTAGTAAAACCTAACTCCTCGTCACAGGAGCTGCTCAAAGAAGTAGAAGAACACCGAGAAGAGTTCATTGCACTGCAGAAAAAGAGCAGTGCTGTTCAGCATGTTTCTCAAGGAGAGATCGATGGCGGGAGATTAAAGCAACGCTTTGAAGAGATCGAAGAGCAGTTTGCAATGTATCTAGGAACACAACATGCCACCCTGGTGAGTATCATCAGACGTGTTTTAGCTCTGCACCTGTACATTCATTGCTTTTCCTCTAGCAAGATGGTGAGGTTATTGGAAATGTTTTTATATTTGCCAAATAAACTCTGTGTGTCACTTTTAGTACATATATCCACACACACAATATACGAATAGTGGAGTAAAAGCCAGGAAAACATTCACCTGTCAAAAGTGTAGACTTTAAAGTCTAATTTAGTAAGGAATTTCAAGATTAAGTATAAATTTAATGTGACAGGAAACAATACCGGCGCCTCCACGTGCAATATCGGCCAGTTGAAATGGTAACGAACACACTGAAGAGGCAGCTCCCACAGGTCAAAGGATCTTCAATCTGAGAGACAAAAAACAAAAAGGAGCGCCTCCATAGTGTAAAACGAATTTTAATGATAAAAACGCACAACTGTATTGTACTTACAAGAAGTCGGTAGTAAAAAGGCATGTAGAAAACAATGGGATGTCAAATCATCTAGCAGCGGAAGTCTGAAAAGATGTGCAGCATCAGCGTCCACTGCCCCTGTGTGGTTTCGGTTTACATGTTTCTGTACATGTAAACTGAGGGAGTGGACGCTGATGCTGCAGATCTTTTAAGACTTCCGCTGCTAGATGATTTGACATCCCATTGTTTTCTACATGCCTTTTTACTACCGACTTCTTGTAAGTACAATACAGTTGTGCGTTTTTATCATTAAAATTCGTTTTTTGTCTCATAAATTTAATGTAGTCAAATCAGTAAAAGATGCTGCATGTCAATGCATTTTCATTTACTTTAAGAAATAGAAAAAAAAAATGTCACGTCTGCAGACACGCTCAACCCTATATCCCGGTTAACATATCATATTCTTTCTACGTGTTAATAAATGCCTGTTGGTTTGTCCATTTTAGTGTGTCTAAAACCAAACCTTTTTATTTTGAATAGAGTAAGGAAGGTTTAGAACCTCTGTCAGGTATTTGTTACTGTCTATGCCCCTGCTGTGGAAATTCATTTAGCCTCTTTTTGCCCCAAAGGCTACTTTAATGGAACAGAAACTGATGGTAATTCCAAAATGTCACGGTTGTCACCAGAACAGGAATAGAGAGAAAATCTTTAATTGGGGATACCTGTTCCTGTGACAACTATCTAAGAGGGAATTTCCCCCAACCTTGGTGAGAGTTCCTCTTAATTTCTGTTGTGTCAGACAGGATGTAAAAAGGAAATCTCACATGAGTTTCAGCCATTACCTACTCTATCCAAAATAGAAATACAAAAAACATTTTGACTTAAAGACCAGCTCGGGGCTACATTTTTTCTAAATTGTCCCCCTGCCATTTTTTTTTTTAATGCTGCAATAACCAGATTTAATGTAAAGTTGCCCCACACAGTGCTTCTTTTTTGCTACAAGCTGTCCTTAGTCTTCCGAGTTGAATGATGCAATGACAGCATGAACATCCAGATAAGAATATGGCAGAGGAACATGGTCATAGTGGACTTTTACATCAGGGCTTAGATGTAGGTAGGAAGATTTCTCAATACCAATTCACTATGCCGCACTTTACACAAAAGTAAGTGAATAGCTTTTTGGTGAAAATGTATTCATGTATTTTATTTAGTATTAAATCAAACATTAGAAAAATAAAAAAGAAGCCCAAACAAAACATAACCTAACCTATAATATTAAATGCGTGATGACATCAAATTTTGGCCTTATTGTCAACCCTGCAATATATAAATATATACAGTATATATATTATACCAAAATCATTGCTGATCCTTCTTGAAAACCATACTTGCTTTTGGCAAGGCCTCACTGCCTGTTATTTAAATAAGTATTTTATTCTGCTCTCAGCTGCAGTCTCATGTTACTGAGAATCACAACAAAAATGTAACCTGGATCTCTCTCTGTAGGATGACACTGATACTTGTCTAGATGTTAGCGTTACCTCATCCAGATTCATGCCTTCATTTCCTCCCTCGGATTACTTGGTTGAGATAAACAAAGTCCTGCTTTCCATAGCAGATACTGAGCTTCTGCTTAATGCACCTGATCTAAGCAGTGGAGAATATGAGAATTTCACTATACAGGAAGAAATACTAAAGGTAATAACCATCGTACACGCTTAGTAAAAAAAAGATGACTTGTGCATTTATTGCTTATTGCAGGTGGTAACTGCTTTGATTTCACAATGCAAAATTTTCAGTGTAAACTTACCCGTGCCTTTTTTAAATATTCATTATTCTGTAAGTTAGTAATATGGGTCCATTGACTGTCTTTCATTTGTTAAGCATGTAACCATATGGCTGACGTCACAGCACCGCCTCTTGTCCAATCAGAGAATGCCTAGGATTCCTTGAGAAGAATACTGGGTGTCCTCTAAATGGCCGCTATATTCAGCTAAGCAATTCTCTGTGTTTTCACAGCACAGGGAAGTCGCTCAGCATAGCATCTGTATCAGGACCTGGAAGACGCTGAAATGCACTGTAGTAGCTGTGGCAGTGCATTACAGGATCTTCATGGCAGATATATATATATATTTATGCTGTGTCAAGCTGGACCAATGTAAATATGTATATTTAAAGCTGGAGTTCTTTAAGTTGCAGTTCACTTGGGGACTTCTTAGCAACACATTGAGACTCCATTGGAGTTAAACTGAAAGGACCTTCAGTAACACAACAAAATATATGTGAGCAGACAAATGGCACCATTTGTGTCGGCTACGAAAGCTCAAGTATGTAGTATAAGATTGCTGTTACTTGTACTAATTTCATTATTTGTTTTATGCTCACAGATATCTGTGCACAAAAGAAAACTTATATGTATCTAAATGACTTAACTTGTAACTGTCAATGTCATAAAGGTAGTCCATGAGGTCTACTGCGTTGGGATATATTTTCCTTATTAAAAAAAGAAGAAGATAATTCTGCCTTAGCATCTGCCTGTTTTCCTAAACAAATGCATAGTGTGATTGGTTGTTCAGATGTGAAATAGAAAGCATGGTTCTAAATTAAATGCTGCTTATAGTATTTATGTCAAAAATCTTGACATATGTATATATTCCTGTCTTGTAGGACATAAAAGATTCTCTTGACAAGCTTGGAGAGCAAATTGCAACTATTCATGAAAAACAGCCAGATGTCATTTTGGAAGCATCAGGGCCTGAAGCCATACAGATAGCAGACTCTCTCACCCAGGTGAATGCAGAGTGGGATAGAATCAATAGATTGTACAGTGATCGTATGAGGTAAGATCAATAATAACAAAAAATGTTATTCACTTGAAATATGATTGACTTTGTTTAATATATGGCGTCATACGATACTAGTGTTTCTGCTTGGCAAAAAAGGACCAATTAGTAAAGAGTAATGTTGTTTAGCATTTTAAAGTGACTCTGTCAGGAGATTAACAAACTTACAATGGCAATACCATTGTATTGTGAAGAAAGCAACATTACACTTACCACATACCAGCAGCCCATTTGCTGAAACTTTGCGGGGTAGCACAACTCCAGAAACCACTCCTCTTCCACACTTCAAAAACCTGCTACACCTTCTGAGAAGTCTTCAGCATGAAGGTGAGCCCATGCTTTTCCAAGTGGGCTGATTTTTATGAACCCTTTAGTAGTTTTCCTTTCAGACATTTAGTTTCAGAAAAGCCCCTACAGGTTTACAAATGTATCCCTCGCCTCCATTGCTCTCTTCAGCTGTTCACCCTCCACCTTCCTGTGCCACTGCACAGATTATCATATCTGACTCTGCTCCCTTGAGTCACCCAAACCCAGAGATTTTTGCTTTAGTCCCTGTGCCAGTTAGGTTTCAAGATTTGTGTCTCATCCTGGCCATTGCTCTCTTCCCAAGAGCAATCAATTGTTTCTCTTGTGAGGTGTGAGGTCATCACTTGGGCTTGGTATCTGTAAGATCCAGCACCCCTGTCCCTGCCTAGCGGGACCCTCTGACCTGCATAGTCAGTTGGTACCAGTACTTGCTGATTACTTTCCCACTAAATCTTCAGAAAAAAAGGGCAGAAAACCAAAAGGTTAAAGAGTCCAAAAGTGCCTTTAATTGTTTACAATTTAATATAACCATAAACAGCCAACACTGTTTTTATATTTTTTTTCTGTCTACTTATAATTTTTTTTAGCTTTTATTCACTATGCTATATGTTTGTCTTGTAGCCCAGATGAACGGGGAACATTGTTGCCACTGAACCACATTGGCTGTTTTTTGTTTGATTGAATTGTGAACAATTAATTTAGGCACCTTTGGACACTATCACCTTTTGGTTTGGCACTCTATTTCTTTACACTGGGTCATTTCTGGTTACCCAACAAAGGAGGCTTGTTTGGTTTGCAAGCTGCCTTGCCACTGTCAATGAACGTATTTGCAATCTTTCCTGCATCTGTATGTTTTCAGTGAGCTAAATAACCCCAGCACCTTAAATATATTGTTGGAGGCTATTTCCTTCCAGCTGGTGGCTTCTGGACATGATAGAGCGATCCACACACCTAGGTGCAATCTAGGACCTGCACTGTAGGTGTAAGACATTGTAGAAGTTCCCCATAATACCCTGGGCTATCTGCATGCTGGTGCATGCAGGTATCCTCTGCTAGTAACAAGGAGTGTCTTAATGACTCTGTGAGACCCTTCATACGGGTTAGGCTTCTCTTTCTTGACTATTTTTAACGCTTGTGAAGAAGGCCCTTCTGGGGTGTTTCCCTGCTTTGGTTTTATCAAGGTGATTGTTTTTTGTTTGGCCTAATAGGACTTCTCTCTGTTGCATGGATCCTGATGCTTCTTTGGATCTGGGTAGGGAGTAGCATCTCTAGTTTTTTAATCTGCAAGGCTTCAGAATAGACAGGTTATTCCAGACACGTTCTCCCTTAGGGTTACCCCAGGGACACCTTCTTCAAAAGCTAAATTTGGGAGCTAAGCTTGGTTCTTAAATCTATCAGGTCAGTATTCTTCTGTGTTATTCAGCGAGATGCTTATCTCCTGTCTACTCCTTGTACAGGACGCTCTCATGTACCCTTGCTATTGACCACACTTAGGCTGTGAGTCCTTTGCCATTGGGGAATATTTTTTTTTTCTTCATTCCCTGGTTGGATAAGGTAGACCAATTCCATGTAATGTTCTATGTTTAGGGGTACCCACCATGGTTTGTCTTCTCATTAGTGTGATTTGTTTTGGTCTTCTGGCATCAGGCTTGGTTTCTGTGCTTATATCACCTATTCTAGTCCTTTTCTTAACAGGTGGGGGAGTTGCCCGATCTGCTACCAGCTTCAGATGTTCGTCCATTAGACAGCAGCTGAGCAGCATGCAGTCTCTAGTTCTTGACTTTGGGCCTGTTAGTGGTTGTTTGCAGTTGTACATCCCTTATTTTGACTGCTTTTGAACATCCTGGCAGTACATTTCCACTGTGCCTGGCCTACAATTTATATGTTTGCCAGTGTCCAATCTTCCTGTAGGTGGCAGTATAACCTGGCAGTATATGACTTCCTGTGTCCCACAATGGACTAAAAAAAAAAAAAGGATTTAATGAGTACAACAATCCTATTTTGCCATATACTTTTGCAAAATTTAGAAAAGAAAGTTAAAATTAAAAGAGAACTATGGGATAAGTGTTTTTCCCCATAGTTCTCTTTAGGGTCACAGCAGGACATATACTAACCTCCTCCTGTCACCCAAAGACCAGTATATTGCGGGCTATTGCCCGCTATATACTGAGAGCGCCACAGCCGGGACGAATCCCTACAATACTGTCGAGATCCACCCAGCTGCGTGAGTGACAGCTGGCTCTGCCTATCTAGAGCGCTGGAGGATTGGAGAGCGGAGGGGGGAATCCCTGTGCGGAGCGGAGACTGACAGTTCCATGCGTTCCAGAGTAGGAAATATAGGGCTTGCTGCAGTTTTTTTTTTTTTTACATGCTCTGGAACTGAGCTAGAGCCCAAAATACCATTGGAATACATTGGACGCAGTTTTGATCCGTTCTGTAAGTGCTCTGCTCTGCTCCTGGAACACGCTTGGTGTGAACTAGCCCTTAATGTTTACTTTGTTAAATACTTTGTTTTCACTACCCTACTGCTCTGTTTAGTTGCTTGGAGTGAAGGAAAGTCCTGTGTAAGCTATAAAAATCATATCTTACACAGAGTAATGGACTTCCCTTTTGACAGCCCTGTCACATGCCTATTCATACTTGGAAGTATTAGATATATTATTCTGGCACTAATGGAGGGGCAAGGGAATGAAAGGAAGATATGAATAAGCTGGGGGCTTGTGGGATTAAAGCAAAACATAGGTTTGCTTTAGTGAGCTGTAAGAAAATGCATAGCTTTAAAAAAATATGTTGAAAAATAAAGTTTTTGACTGTTCTACTGTTTGTTAACCTTAGTAAACAAGTTCAGTATTATCTATTTGTGTTTTTCTTTCTTCTAGTCGTTTTGACAGAGCGCTGGAAGAGTGGCGGCAGTTCCACTGTGACCTCACCGATCTCACACAGTGGACAACTAAAGCTGAGGCTTTGTTAGCCCAGGCCCAAATGCCAGGAGGAGCTCTGGATTTAGAGAAAGCACAATTTCATCAGCGGGTATAAAAATAAAAGTTTACTAAGTCTTGTGTAATCCAGCAGAAGCATACTTTATCTTATGCTCGATGTTTTCCTATTAAACCATAGGCTAGCCTTACACAGATTTCTCTTGTTGATGCAGTCAAATTTTCCACCCGGCTCACTCGATGGGCCACCGAATGGCTTTTTCAGCAAGAAATGTCTGAAATTGGAGCCATTTATGCCTAGCTTTACTCTGAGCTTTAGTAACACTACAGTCCTCCACCCTAAGTAGCTCATCCATTAAGCTTTTTAGTTGTGAAATTCCAAAACTTCTGGATGTCTGAGCAGTCTTATAGACTTACAAATAACAAGATTAATAAATAACTTTCATTAGGCTCATCTCACAAAGCTTTAACACCAGGATAAGGATATTTATTTTCAACAGTCTATTGCATGTATCCTGAAAATAACTGTAATATTTGTAAAGTATACTTTATAATGGCGTGTTAGCGTGAAGTGAGCCTTTTAAACATTACTGCTAAGTAGAAACAAAGCCTTCTTAAGTAATGTTTTCAGTTTTGAGAGTTGAATAAATAAACATTAGACTGTAAAGTTGAATAATTATCTTATATGGAAAAAAAAGGTTCTTCTAGGTTTTCTCTAGTGCTGCCCATGTCTAAAGCCTTATGCATGTGGCCACCTGATCTTTGCAAGAGATGAACATTAACCCCTTCGTGACTGACGACGTACAGTGTACGTCGCCAGCATCGGGGCTGTTTAAACAGACTCCCGGCGACTTTTGCCGCCGGGACTCTGTTTAAACTTGTAGAGCCGACTGTCGGCTTTACAACAGAAGCGATCCTGGCGACTTACCTGTCGCCAGATCGCTTCTGCGTCCCGAAGAAAGGGCCATGGGGTGTTTCCCTGCTTTGGTTTTATCAAGGTGATTGTTTTTTGTTTGGCCTAATAGGACTTCTCTCTGTTGCATGGATCCTGATGCTTCTTTGGATCTGGGTAGGGAGTAGCATCTCTAGTTTTTTAATCTGCAAGGCTTCAGAATAGACAGGTTATTCCAGACACGTTCTCCCTTAGGGTTACCCCAGGGACACCTTCTTCAAAAGCTAAATTTGGGAGCTAAGCTTGGTTCTTAAATCTATCAGGTCAGTATTCTTCTGTGTTATTCAGCGAGATGCTTATCTCCTGTCTACTCCTTGTACAGGACGCTCTCATGTACCCTTGCTATTGACCACACTTAGGCTGTGAGTCCTTTGCCATTGGGGAATATTTTTTTTTTCTTCATTCCCTGGTTGGATAAGGTAGACCAATTCCATGTAATGTTCTATGTTTAGGGGTACCCACCATGGTTTGTCTTCTCATTAGTGTGATTTGTTTTGGTCTTCTGGCATCAGGCTTGGTTTCTGTGCTTATATCACCTATTCTAGTCCTTTTCTTAACAGGTGGGGGAGTTGCCCGATCTGCTACCAGCTTCAGATGTTCGTCCATTAGACAGCAGCTGAGCAGCATGCAGTCTCTAGTTCTTGACTTTGGGCCTGTTAGTGGTTGTTTGCAGTTGTACATCCCTTATTTTGACTGCTTTTGAACATCCTGGCAGTACATTTCCACTGTGCCTGGCCTACAATTTATATGTTTGCCAGTGTCCAATCTTCCTGTAGGTGGCAGTATAACCTGGCAGTATATGACTTCCTGTGTCCCACAATGGACTAAAAAAAAAAAAAGGATTTAATGAGTACAACAATCCTATTTTGCCATATACTTTTGCAAAATTTAGAAAAGAAAGTTAAAATTAAAAGAGAACTATGGGATAAGTGTTTTTCCCCATAGTTCTCTTTAGGGTCACAGCAGGACATATACTAACCTCCTCCTGTCACCCAAAGACCAGTATATTGCGGGCTATTGCCCGCTATATACTGAGAGCGCCACAGCCGGGACGAATCCCTACAATACTGTCGAGATCCACCCAGCTGCGTGAGTGACAGCTGGCTCTGCCTATCTAGAGCGCTGGAGGATTGGAGAGCGGAGGGGGGAATCCCTGTGCGGAGCGGAGACTGACAGTTCCATGCGTTCCAGAGTAGGAAATATAGGGCTTGCTGCAGTTTTTTTTTTTTTTACATGCTCTGGAACTGAGCTAGAGCCCAAAATACCATTGGAATACATTGGACGCAGTTTTGATCCGTTCTGTAAGTGCTCTGCTCTGCTCCTGGAACACGCTTGGTGTGAACTAGCCCTTAATGTTTACTTTGTTAAATACTTTGTTTTCACTACCCTACTGCTCTGTTTAGTTGCTTGGAGTGAAGGAAAGTCCTGTGTAAGCTATAAAAATCATATCTTACACAGAGTAATGGACTTCCCTTTTGACAGCCCTGTCACATGCCTATTCATACTTGGAAGTATTAGATATATTATTCTGGCACTAATGGAGGGGCAAGGGAATGAAAGGAAGATATGAATAAGCTGGGGGCTTGTGGGATTAAAGCAAAACATAGGTTTGCTTTAGTGAGCTGTAAGAAAATGCATAGCTTTAAAAAAATATGTTGAAAAATAAAGTTTTTGACTGTTCTACTGTTTGTTAACCTTAGTAAACAAGTTCAGTATTATCTATTTGTGTTTTTCTTTCTTCTAGTCGTTTTGACAGAGCGCTGGAAGAGTGGCGGCAGTTCCACTGTGACCTCACCGATCTCACACAGTGGACAACTAAAGCTGAGGCTTTGTTAGCCCAGGCCCAAATGCCAGGAGGAGCTCTGGATTTAGAGAAAGCACAATTTCATCAGCGGGTATAAAAATAAAAGTTTACTAAGTCTTGTGTAATCCAGCAGAAGCATACTTTATCTTATGCTCGATGTTTTCCTATTAAACCATAGGCTAGCCTTACACAGATTTCTCTTGTTGATGCAGTCAAATTTTCCACCCGGCTCACTCGATGGGCCACCGAATGGCTTTTTCAGCAAGAAATGTCTGAAATTGGAGCCATTTATGCCTAGCTTTACTCTGAGCTTTAGTAACACTACAGTCCTCCACCCTAAGTAGCTCATCCATTAAGCTTTTTAGTTGTGAAATTCCAAAACTTCTGGATGTCTGAGCAGTCTTATAGACTTACAAATAACAAGATTAATAAATAACTTTCATTAGGCTCATCTCACAAAGCTTTAACACCAGGATAAGGATATTTATTTTCAACAGTCTATTGCATGTATCCTGAAAATAACTGTAATATTTGTAAAGTATACTTTATAATGGCGTGTTAGCGTGAAGTGAGCCTTTTAAACATTACTGCTAAGTAGAAACAAAGCCTTCTTAAGTAATGTTTTCAGTTTTGAGAGTTGAATAAATAAACATTAGACTGTAAAGTTGAATAATTATCTTATATGGAAAAAAAAGGTTCTTCTAGGTTTTCTCTAGTGCTGCCCATGTCTAAAGCCTTATGCATGTGGCCACCTGATCTTTGCAAGAGATGAACATTAACCCCTTCGTGACTGACGACGTACAGTGTACGTCGCCAGCATCGGGGCTGTTTAAACTAGGTTCTGATTCTCCCCTTCAGCATGACCAAGTCCTAAGCTCTGAGGCATAAGGTCAACATTTAGGAGAATGTGGAGCCTCCAGGTTCTCTTCTGTTTAAATGGTAGCCCAGGCACTTTGTCATTTGATCTCTGCTAAATGTAAGGATAGTGCTTTCCTCTTCTCATACCAACAACATAGCCTGTGTGGAAGCAGATGTCCCATTGAGAACAGCTGTTGAGACAGCACCCTAAATCTATGAGGATCTGCCACAGTCTTCTGTGCAACTTTTCAACCTAACTATGTAAACTTTGTCTATATTGTGTAGCTTGCTCATAGCTTGATGGTAGGGATGCACAGATACTCGTACTCGCCCAAATGCTCCCGATGTCTTTCTCGCTACCGGAACTTCCAGTGTCAGCAAGCCGGGCAGCAAGTCATTACACACTGCCCGGCTTCCTGATTGGCCAGGAAGCTGTCTCCATGTTTCCTCGTCACCAGGGAGGAGCTGGTTTCTCGGCCAATCAGGAGGCCGGGGGTGGTTAATGACTCGCCTCCCGGCTTTCTGATTGGCCAGGAGGCCGGCTTCATGCTCGCTCATCACTTGGTGATGAGAGAGCATGGAGCCGGCTTCCCGGCTAATCAGGATGCCGGGCAGCGTGTAATGACTCGCCGCCCGGCTTCCTGATTGGTCGAGAAGCTGGTCAATCAGGAAGCAAGGCTGCAAGTCATTACCCGCCTCCCGGGTTCCTTATTGGCCAGAAAGCCGGCTCCATGCTTCCTTGTCACGGCTTCCAGAGTCATTACACACCGCCCCGGATCCTTAATGTGACTTTCCGTATTGGCACTGATACAGAGTATTTGGGCGAGTACTCATACTCGGCCAAATGCTCTCGATGCTTATCCCGATACCGGAACTTCCGTTGTCAGGAAGCCAGGCGGCGAGTCGTTACACGCCGCCCGGCTACCTTAATGGGACCTCTGTTATTGGTATTCGGTATCGCCGAGTACCAAAACAAATCAGTACTCGTACTCGATACCACAAAACCGGTATGGGTGCATCTCTATTCAATGCTATTTCTGCAGAGCTTCAAATTTAAATATTCATGTTTATGCTATGGGATGAGAAGGAGGGTGCATCATGGAAACATCTCCAGCCCAGCTAATCTCTGGAGAAATAATAGCATTCAATATTTTCTTACCAGCAGTGCCTGCAGGTGCCCATATAGTGTTGCCCATGTGGTTTATGTCATTTTATGTTGCAGCAATAAATTTCTATTGCAAATATAAATGAGAAACTCTGCATTACCTAGTTAGTGTTGGTGGATGTCCACAGTAATCTAGATCAAATTGTGCAGTTCATGAAAATGTAGAAATGCGATTGTCTCTACAGAATAACTGAGTAAAATATTATTTCCACTATAAACTATGAAAGCATATCATAATTCCTTGTTGCTGTATTTCAGCAAAGCTAGTAATAGCTGAAATGTTCAATTCTTGCAACACATAGATAAGAGAATTTCTCTGTTTTAGTTCAAACTAAACTTAATTTCATGGGTGTCATTTTTTCTTAACCAGTTTCAACAGATCAAAACACTTTTCTGTGCAGCAATGCAAACAGAGCTTTACTAAAGAAGATTATTTTACATCTGTGCATGTATTTGCCATTGTGTTGAAAAGCATATGCATGGCAGAGACCGGTAGGCCTATGAAGTTAGAATTTATTTGTATTCTGCATCACTGTCACAGGAGCTCGAGGAAGGAGTCAGCAGTCACCAGCTCAGCTTTACCATTCTTAACCAGAGTGGGGAAGGGATCATACAGCATTTGTCGTCTGCCGATGGAGTGTTCTTACAGGAGAAACTGGCGAGCCTGAATAAACGCTGGGGTGCCATAAAGTCAGGGGTCATGGAGAGACAGCAAAGGTATGTAATGTTTGATATGAGTATGATCTGTGGGCTTCACTGTTTTGTCCAGATGTTAAGATTTGATCAATTTAATCTTTGTCAGCTTCAAATATTTTTTGTGCTTCTCTTATACCAAACTTTATATACAACTAATGCAAACCATTGATTATTAAATATTTTTGTCACATGGGTAAATCCTTTGTATGTATATACCTAAACATAGGTGCTATACAGAATTGTTTGTACATCACAGGCCACATGTAGTTAATTTCTCTACGGAAGGTGTTATGCAGCTACCCTCAGGTGATGAGACACTGGCAAAATAATATATTTGATTTATTTGATTTGTATAACCCCTCCCACTCCCAATCTGTCTCAGTTTTTTGCTGGTGTTTTTAGGTGATGGATGCCTTCTCTCTGCTCTGATAGAAGTGCATCTCTTTTGCACTTTTCTGCTGAAGACTCTTCTAGCAATTTTCCCTAAATGTTGCTCACAGCCACTGTGGCACCTAACCAATGCTATCCGGATCGGTTTTCTCTCTGGCACAGCAATGGTAGACCATACCCATACCAGGCCAAAATGGACTGTTGTCCATAGTGTTGAAGCCCTGTCTCTGAAGACCCCCTTTGAAGGGTATGCCCACCAGGAGGGCAGAGACTGAATAGGGCTTTTCCCATTTAAATGACCTGCACTGCCAAGTCAGCTGCCACTCTGGAGGTAGTAAGTAAAGGCTTGTCCCTAACCTGGTACCCAGTTCGCCCCTTTCCCCTTTGGATGTCAAATTTGGGGTTTCCAACAGCAGAGGGGTTCACGGTTTCCCTCAAAATTTGAATGCGGTATGTCACATGACGCCTGCACAGCCTCCCTCTGAGTATTCCTACTGTGCATGTACCTGCTATTTTCCTTTCTTGCGCACACTGTACTAGCCACACAGGCTGCACCTGCCACTGCAACTGCGACTCTGCATGGAAAAGGAGTACAGATTCTCTGCCACCTCAGTGCTGGGTTACTGCTGCTCCCTCTGGGGCTGGCTTACCAGGCATCAGTCTCTTACTTATTGTGAGTATTAGTGTCTTTCCCCCTCAAGCAATGACATATTATAGTTAAGGGAAGAAATGGGAGTCAGGCTCTGGTTCTTCACAGCCTAACAGCAGTTCTGAGGATGGTTTTGTCCCTTCTGAGGATGCTGTATTTGCTAGCACTTTGGTATATTGCTTTTCCTCTTTACTCCTCACCTCATGTTCTTCCTCAGTTTCCCCCAGGGCACCCTACAGATGGAATTCATCCCTTTTATGGCAGAGTTAATTCCTTTAACTTTCCTCTGTCTGCTTGTTCACGTGCTGAGGAAGAAGATGATAGGGAAGAAGGGGCTGCTTTCAGTTCTGTGGATTTAGCCCACAAAGAGGACCTCCTAAAATCTCTTCCAAGCTGAAGAACACTATCTCTGTCCTTGTAGACACGATGCAGGATTATTTATAGTGATTGCTGCCTGCATTGACCTTACCAAAGATCACCAGTCTGGGTTTCCTAAAAATCTCAAACCTGCCAAACCTTTTACATTCAGTGGTATGTGGTGACTGGGATAACCCCGGTTTGCTCTGCGATATCTTGTCAAACGCGGTTCCCTTAAAAAATGGGCTGTTCCTCTTGTAGATCCAGCCATCTCTTGTTTAAATTAGATATTCCTGTTTTCAAGAATCAAATTGACAAGAGGTCAGAGGCCCTCTTTAAGGCAGCATTTGCCCTTTTTGTCCAGTGTGTCATACCATATCTGTATGGTTAACAGCTATGGCTATGGACCCTGGGTTTATCTTTACAGACCCCACTGCTCTTAAACATTTAGACCTCTTTTAGCATTGTGTAGATGGCCGGGCAGATACTCTCAGACAAATTTGCAGTATTTGTCCACAAGCAATGGATTCTGTGGCTGAAATACTAGTCTGCAGAGCTCTCCTGCAAGAAGCACCTTGAGTGCATCCAATCTGTAGAAGAGTTAACTTCCTGTGTCATGTAATTTTACCTGTAAAATGTGTTTCTTAGAGCACATTGCAGGAAAGAGGACCTTCCACTCTGGTTTCTGTAATCCGCTTTTGTACTGCTTGCTACATAACTTAAACAGGCTGGGAATGGTAGGGGTTATACAGGGCTTTGGCAGTGTCCAATCACCTAAAGAAACCCCTGCATAGTCCCATCCAAAGAAGAATTAACTCTGTGTACTGTGATGTACTCCAAGAATAGATTTGTGAAGAGACAAATTCTATTTTAATTGTTTGTTATTGTTAAGAATCCTATGTCTTCGTTACTTAAAGGAGAACTATGAGGTGAGTGATTTTCACTCACCTCATAGTTCTAGCCGACCTGTGACAATGAGACAATGTCACAGGTCGGCTCAGGAGATCGGGAAATGAGCGAACCGGCGTTTGCTCACTTCTCGATCCTGTCACGGCTCTCTGCCGTGACAGGGGAGGGGCTGGATTCCCCCCTCCCTGCTCCGATCCTCAAGCGCTGACTGGCGGAACGGACGGGGGAGGGGGCGGGTACAGCTGGCTCTGCCTCTGCCTCTAGATAGGCAGATCCAGCTGTCCCTCACGCAGCTGGGCGGATCCAGACATAGTTTTCTGGATCCGCTTCAGCTGCGACGTCTCAGCCAGCTGTAGCTTAGGATGACAGAAGGACGCTAGTTTGTGTCTTCCGTTGCCCTAAGGAGAACTATGGGGAAAAGCCCTAACCTAATCTTTCATGAATCAAAACCATAACATGCATGTTGTTTGATTTCCTAACATTTTTTTATTTTTTTATTACAAGGTTAAAAGAGGAGAATTCTGCACTTAGTGAATACAGGAGAAAAATGGATGAGTTTACCATTTGGCTAGAGCAGACCACAAGTATGATTAGAGTGAATCCTGCACTGGATAATAAAGAAAAGCTGAGTGCACTAAAGGTAATACATAAGATGCTTCTTAGTTGCTGTTGAGGTTTTCTGCCAGTGACCTGAAGGCTAACAGATGGTGTTGGATTTATTCAACAGTGCGCTATGGCCGGCAATCAGTATACTTCGTGTACTAGTCTGACTTAAAAGTCATTCTGATTGGTTGATGTGGATTACTGCACTTTGCTTCTACCATGCTTTATTAAATAAGCCCACATCCCGGCCACATGCCTCCAATAGCTATTCTAATTGTGTCATAGGTAATGCCACTGGTGCTGTGTTGTGGGGGAGTGCCTAGCAGGCTGCAAAATGTAATGCTATAAGCACATATTATTTTGAAATAAGTAAAATACTAAACCTTGCTTCCTTTAACATAAACATACAACATAAAACCAGAAAGGTTAAAGGTACGCTCAAGTCAAATATGCAAGTGCCGCATTCAAAATGACCTAGAAGGCACAACTTACTTACAGAATGTCTTATTTTCAGTCTGGCATTCCTTCTGTGCAAATGGCTGTTCTGTTGACTAAATCAATCTGGTTGCCACTATACTTCTATATAAATGTCCCTGAATAAAAGTACTCACTGCCTTCTTCTTTCCCCTATACACAGTGCTTTGATAATGACAATGTAGACATTATGAGGGGGATTTAAAACTGGAGCAGACAAAATGTGGAGCAACTGTGCACAGCAACCAGTCAGCTTCTTTGTTTCATTTTTCAAATCTTAACTGAACAAACTGAAGAGAGAAGCTGTTTGGTTGCCACGGGCAACTGCTCCGGATTTTGTCTGCTTCAGTTTTGATAAATTCCCCTCTATATGTTTATTATAATTTTATTGATTCAGTAAAAAATTAAGTTTTTAAGCAGGAAGCTTTAGAAATGTTTAATTTGTTATCCACCAGGCATGTTATTCTTTCCAAAGGCAACTTAGTGGAATTTTTCTTGACATATTCTCAGAAAGGAGATCTTACCAATTTTTTATCATTGTCACTGTTTAAAGTGTTTAATATTGGGTTAACACCAAAGTTCAACTGGCTCTTAAAAACATGCCAGCTGGGACCAATGCACTGACCCAGTTTTAGGCAATTCAGCTGTGAATGCTTTCTCGCTTATTCTAGAATAAAACCTTGTCACTGGTTATTTGTTTCCTTCTAACCCTGAGATCTCAGGAGATGAAGATTATAGTTATTACAGCAAACTTGGGCTGACAGATTAGGGACGTTCGTTTTGGGCCAGCTTGGCCCAAACGAACTAAAGGTTCACATTGTATACCCCGCGTATAAAACGACCCCCGATTTTCGGGGGATGTTTTTAAGTATAAAAATTTGTCTTATACGCTGGCAAATGCGGTAATTACCTCTTTCTAATACAGTTTGATAATTACTTAAAATGTACTTAAAAGTCAAATTTTTTTTATTAATTTTGGATAAAGCAGGGAAAGGTTATAATCTCTTATCAGATTCACTCTCTCTATTTGTTTTGGTGATCATTGTCACCAAAACAGAAAGTGAATGGTAATAGAGCGAAAATCTTACAATGTGGACACTTTTTTAGGTGACAACTGTATCACTTCTCACACAGGGTATCCCTTTCTTTGAAGTGCCCTGCTCTCACTACTGATTGTGTCTTGAGACAAATTATCTCCTCAATGGGAGACAGACATCAGAAAAAAAAAGCATTGGACCATGAGAACCATCTGCAAATATAGTGACAGTGTGAGAAAGTTGCTAGATCTTTATTTTGCTCCTGATCCCTGTCATCTCTGGGCATCTCTTGTTTAGAGCTCAAGTTCTGTCACTATCACATGAACATTTGTAGTGTATTATAAATCTAGTAACCTGGCATGCAGAATGCAGGCAGCTATACAGGCTAATACTAATATGTGCCATCAGTTCAGTTTTTTAGTGATAGGGATATACAGTATATACATGTAATATTTAAACTGCTCTCTTTATCCATACCATATGGTTATGCAATGTTTTACTTAATACTTCCAGATATACAAGTGACATTATTGTATCACAGAAAGCAATTTGAAGGAGTCGAGTGTAAATGCAGCCTTAGCAGGCAATCCAATTTCTGAGTGGCCCAGCAGCAAATAAAGCCCAGTACAACCTGGTTACATGATAATATTCTTTATTATTTATTGTAAGTTATTACTATAAAATAGCACAGACATCAATAATAACAGTACTGTAATGATCTTGCTGCGGGGTCCCATGCCTGCTTTTAAAAAAGGACTTTTCCAATACTATGATTTCCAAATCGTTAAATGCAGTTTATACAGTAAACGTGAAATACATAGTCTATGTAATGCTTTGAAAAATGTTCTTGACTTTGAATTCAGATGTATGTGATTGGTGAAATACATGAGATAAAGCTCTCTTCTGCCCTCTTCAGGCATTGAATAAAGATCTGGGAATGCAGAGTGAGAAAGTGGAGTGGCTGAACCGCGCAGCACCAGATATGTTAGCTTTGAAGTGCCTTAGTACCCAGGACAGAGAGAAACTTTCTGCTAGGCTACGAACCTTAAACATCAGCTGGACTCAGGTATGGAAGCAGATTTCTATCAGTGATAATTCTACTTTTTTTGTGAACATATATTATTTTCCATAAATGTTAAACTAGGAACAAAAAGGAGCACTGACATCTGCTGAAACCAGTCACTAGGATGTGATTTATTATATACATTGACACATACAGTATCATACTTCTCTAATGTTAAAAACAAAAAGGTTTTTTGAGTCCACGTACATCTTTTTTATGTAGCTTTAGCAGCTTTTGTAGTGTTGTATAGTTTTCAGATGTTTCCTATGAATAGAGTAGAGCAGTCAATTCAGCAGGCAGGCCACACAGGCTTTCCTGTCTAGGTGAGACTCTCATTTACTTGCTTGATATTCATACCATGCAACAATTGTAATGGCTGAGTGAGCTGCTATTCTGTTATATTTACTTGTCTATAGAAATAGATTACTATTTTTGTTGCACTGGAAGATATAAAGTGTAGGTAGAAGGCACTGACTAATGATTGCATACATCAATGTTAATTACCTGAAATTTGTTAGCAATAGCTTTTTTTCCTGTCCAAGTTCAGCTTTAAACCGTTTTCTGCTTTAAAAATAATACTGTATACTCCTTTTTGCAACAAGAACCGGCCGAACTTTGTACAGTATATGGCCAGCTTTATTATGATTGGATATACTTCTAAGCTTCTTCTGACCATTCCCTTGAATGGTATGAGGAGAAAATCAGCTCTGACTTGAACAAATACACATGTACTCAAACCCTAAGTCACACAAATTTCAATAGAGATGCATTGTATGCAGGGAGGTATTTTTTTTTAGTAAGCCTACCCACATACATGAGAGCAGGACAGGACACTTATAATAAGATTATATTGAGTGTAATTTTGTTATTAACATATTGTAAAAAAAAACAAAAACATTTTGACTTTTTTCTCCTTGCTTAGGCCTTGGATTAAACACTTGCCAACTTACCTTTAACATAGCAAATATTTGCTTGTGTGCCATTTTTTTAATACTTTTACAGACCTGGCAGGTGTTTAATTTTACAGATTCTCCAACAAATATTATGTTTTCTGTCTTTTCTCAGTGGTATTAAAAGTTGATTTGACCTTTTGGTGTTCTTTAAGTAAATATTCTGAATGCCACCAATCTCTAGCACAGTGTTCAAGTTTTAAGTGTATAAAAGAAACACAGTATACAGTGTATAAGGAAACACACTGTTTATTAATATAAATAAATGTGCTTCTTCAATGAAAGTTTTTCTTTTTTTTTTATTGTCAATTGTCTAGCCAAGTTTCTAATAAATATTTGCACTTCAGTTACCGTAATACTTGCAAATCAGAATAAATGCACATGCATGTTGAGGTACGGTAGAAACACACTCACTCTGCATTTGGTAATTTTGTGACACCCTAATCACTAGGTCAGTAAATCGCATAACCTGTCAGTCTTAGGACTCATTCACACCAGTGCCCATGTTCCACAGGGGTGTCGGTACATTCTAATGGTGCATCTTACTGTTTACTTTTTTTCCAGCATATTGAAATGTCATAAAATTACGTTTCATTGATGTTTATGCTCTGCGTTGCGATGCGGTGTAATGTATTGCACTGTGCTGCGCTGAAAAAAGTACAGGTCGTTAATGTCTTTTCAGCACACACTACTCCAGCACAGTGGAGTGAACTGAACTCATAGGACTCAAAACAAATTGCCTTGTCTATGCTTTGAGACTGCTTTGGGCAAGGCTGGTATGAATAGGCCCTAAACTGTGATGTTTTCATAGAGGAGTTGCATATTGTTATACCAAAGGTTTGGTACACCTTATTTATAACACTTTACATTATGTATATTTCTTTTTTGGGGGGAATGATACACCTTTGTGCACAGCAACCAATCTGAATGAATCTGACAGTAAGCTGAAATCCAATTAATGCACGGTGTGCTACACTTTTACAAATTTAATATAGTTCTGATAGCAAATATTTTTTGTTACTTTTTATAGATAATGTTTATACATGAAGCCCATAGTTAATATTTAATATTAGTTAATATTTTTTCATTCTCGTTCATTAAAGGACACAGGATTCAGTTATTCAAAGATAATTCCTCCTTCAGACTGTGATCCAGTCTCCGAAGAGCATCAAGGGCTACTAAATACAGTATATTGTTGTTACTGAGCTCTATTATTACCCTTTTTTTCCATTCGTTTCCACGGAATGGGTTAAAACGCTGAAGAATTAAGTGCTGTGTTTCTAACTGGAGGGTCACACATTTGCTCCCTGTGCTCTGTTCCCACTTTTTCAGCTTGACATAAGTGCTTCCTGCCATTGCTCCTAATTGTAGGAGGCATATAGTTCCACCATGGTTAATCCGTGCTTCTGCCTATAGTAACATGATCACCTCTGGCCATTTGAACCTCTCCTGCTCTCAGCAGCTGGCTTGTTAGTAACCAAGGTTTTTACCTTGGGTACCATTCGTGCCTTTAGATGGTGAACATGTTTTTGGTGCCGCTTTGGAGACCATAATAAATAATGTAATTGAGGGTAAAAGTACTTGTTTGCCCCAGCAAAAAAGCATAAGCCACAATCTGGAAATATTCCTTTTCCCTCTGAATTTAAGCAGAGTTCATTTTATTACTCCCAGACTTTAATTTCCAAAAACTGAGCCAAGCCAAGAGAGTTCAATCGTAAACCCTGGGCCCTTAAATCTTCCAAAGCTTCAGGCATAATAGCCGAAGCTACAGCTGACCCTTCGGCTGGCTTTGTGAATAACCCTCTAATAACTAAATACTGTGTCCCTTAATAAACTCCAAGTTGTGGTAAGTACAAAAATCCTGTTTTTTTTCCATCTTCATCCTGGAAAACTCTTTAAAATTAATTGAATGTTCAAAGAATGCGAGGCATAGTATATTCAATTCATTATGGGAATTTACACCAATTTAGAAAATATTTGTTTATATTTGTATTTCTTTTTGTATTGTTCCAGGTGTCCAGAGAAGTGCCTGAAAATATAAAGGGCCTGGAAAAAGATTTATATTATCCCACCTATACCCCTGAGCCAGTATTACCCAGTAAGCACTCTCTATTATTTATACTGTTCTCTCTAACCAATATGCATGAGTTCTTTATTCCTGGAGAAAGTCTTATTCTTTGCAAAAGGGGCTACCAAATTTAAAAAAGAACTATGGCCCAACCTTTTTTGGCCATAGTCACAGGAGGACATTTACTATGTTCTCCTGTGACCCAAAACTCAGCATCAGCCTGCTATATGCTGACGTCGTAAAATGGAGCTGTGGGCAGGAAAGATTTCGACAATATTGTCGGAATCCAACCCACCACTTGCTTGACAGCAGGCTCTGCCTCTCTAGAGGCAGAACCAGCTGTGCCTGCCCCCTCCCCTGTCCATCTCTCCAGCCAGTGCTGGAGGAATAGAGAGGGGAATCCCTGCAGGGAGCGGTGAATGACAGTCACCGCTCTCTGCAGGGAGATGATCGGGAACTGAGGTATCAGCGGTATGTGATCACTCAGTTCTTGATCTATAGAGCCGACGTGTAACAGCTGCAGTGACACACGTTGGTTCTAATTATGGGGATGAGTGTATTTTACTTTCACCATAATTCTACTTTAACATGCTAATTGTCCATGCAAGGCAAAGTGTCTGTGCTGTGGGCATCCCCAGAACCTCATTTACTTACTGGTGCCCCCTTGCAGCTTTTTGCTACCCATTCATGTGAAAGTGCTCAGGCCTAGTGATTGGTTGCTAGGCTGGGCATCCTCACAGAGGGATGGGATGTTAATTTCTGGCTATTTATAACATTCTCTATTTGCAGCACAGAGTATAGTAAGAGAAAATTCTAACAGAAAGTACTTAGATGTAGCTACCTTTATTAAAATAAAAGCATGCTTAATGAAAAATAACACTAGGAAAACTGTAGGAAGCAAAATGTGTCCCGGTGCTTTTGAGTGGAAGAGCTATTGATAATTGTTAAATATTATTTATTTGCCTTACATATTAGAGAATTATAACATAGTGCTGGAATACAGACTTTAATACTATTATGAGCCAATTTCAGTTTCTACACCTTTACAACATGATAAAGATACAGAATTGCGGTGAGGTGAACAGATCCTGGGCCAGATTTACTAAATGGAGCATGGCCTGTGTGAGGATGAAGTCTTTCCTTTGTGCATATTCCCATCACTCCAGATCACTTCTGCATTATGCACTTTTAAAACTCACTGAGACAGACTACTATATGAAATAGTCTTGCGATAGACTGCTTACAGTTCAATAAGCCATGTGTTAATGCCTCCATATGCTTACTTGTGCATGTTTAGTCATCCCTACATATGTGCATTTATATAGAGAGAGCAAGTTTCTACTTAGATCTTTGTAATATATATATATATACACACATACACACACAAAGCAGAGGTGCTGGAGAGATGTGAATAAAAGTAGTGCAAAATATAGGTAACCCTTCTATACTCCTGTACTTCTACCTGTGTAGCTTACTCTTTATTAAAACAGGCATTAGTTCTAATACAGGTCGAGCTACCCTGTTTCCCCCCGAAAATAAGACCTACACCGAAAATAAGACCTAGTACTATTTTTGGGAATTGCTAAAATATAAGACCTACCCCGAAAATAAGACCTGGTTGTGACCATTCCCAGGACCGGTGGTGGCATAAGGGGGGACTTGAAGAGTCGCGGGAAAGGCAGGAGAGAACCAGTAGTGCCAATGAAGCCAGCGCTAGAGGAAGCAAGGCGGCAGCGGAGGGAGCAGAGCCGCATAAGCCGATGCCTCCTCTATAGTGCTTGCTCCTGTCACTGGCGGAGTGATATCAAATGCACTCCGCCTGTGAAGAATCGATAGTGAAAGTGCATTTCGCTCATTCTGGCCAGCGATTGGTTACCAAATTGCTCTTGGAAAGATATGGCACCCCTGATTGCCCTGATCACCCTACTCTTAACTTTTTGGATGATTTAAATTTGGATTTGCGTTAACTTTGGATTGTTATACATAAGACCTACCCCGAAAATAAGACCTAGTGTCTTATTTTCGGGGAAACACGGTATCTAGCTGAGTCATTTGTAAACCGTTAACTGAACAGTTTCTGTTCTATCTAATCAATTTGCACACAGTATTTCACTTGTAAAATACACTTCACTATACTTATTACTCTATGTATTCTCTTGTTGTTTTGTAGCTTACCCTGCCGTTCAGAAAATGGTGCTGGTGTCTTCTGCTTCTGAGTTCCCAGGAGTGGTTAAGCAAGCTGTGGAATTGCCACATACCACTGACCTCGATAAGACTATCACTGAACTGTCAGACTGGTTGTTGCTCATAGACCAGATGCTTAAGTCAAATATTGTCACTGTTGGCGATCCTGATGACATTAACACAACAATATCACGTATGAAGGTATGGGGAAATCCTCCAGAAAATGTCTCTTGAGTGTGTCAAAATAGTTTGATAATGGAGATTTAGGGTTTAAAGTGAGCTTCCCGGAAAAAAAGGAAACCTGTTTGTTTGGGAACTCATCACATCATTGGGTAAACTCCAGAGTTTTTTTAGGTTAAGGTTTATAAGTTTTACTGTGGAGTATGATTTGTGTGTTCACCAAGTGCTACTGTGGAAGATACAGAAGTTCTAAACCTGCTTCGATATGTTGCACAGGCACAAGTAACAGAATAAATGACCACTTCAGTCAAACTTGTGTTTCTTGATATTAAGATCCTTAGAATCAGTTTTTATGGTCCTGTGTGCTGTCAGATAGAGACTATCCAATGAAGACCAGTATTGATTATTCATGATTGGCATGTCATATTTTTACATACAGGAGAAACCCTGATAAAGTGCTGGATTTCCTTTGCACATCACATAGTCCGACATTGCTCTTTTAATGCACCTAAAGATGGGATTTAAAGTGAATCCTGCTCCTATGAGAACATATGTATCGCTGTTCTGGAATTTTTTAAAGATGTTGCTTGTATAAGCAGATGATTGTTGATGGGTACAAGTAGAAAGTTGACTTAACTTGGCATCCATTTCACTGTGCAATAATGTACACATTGTGATGTTCGGGGATATTTGCACATATGGTGAGCGCTTAAGAATGCAGTCTACTCGCAATATCTTCGGTTTAGGGACTGGTAGCCCACTTTTATTCAACACAAAGTTCATATATCCATCTTGGATACCCACGCAGGTGTTGTTGAGCGTAACATTCATGAAAGGCTTTGCAGCAACACAAGGATAGCCTCCTGGCTTCCACTTTAAACAATGGCACTTCTGACCCACTGGTCCTCTTTGAAGTGCTGTCCCACACTTGTACTGGTGGCCCCTCAGGCTCACGGCTCTCCTAGCCTCACCAGTTCTCTCCCAGCCTCCCTGGCTGTCTTAGTGTGCCTCCAGCACACTCACCACCTGACTCCTTTCTGACTTCTAGGGGCGTTCTCCTGACACCTGAACACAGTCTGTTCCTCTTTCTCAGCAGGAGCTAATTCCCTTAAGGTGCCCATACACTGCTCGATTCTCGTACGAGAATCGCGGGAAATCCCGCGATTGTACGAGAATCGAGCAGTGTGAATGAAGACGTGCGACCGTTTCTACTGTACGTCTTTTGTCTAGGAAGCACGCTAGAAAACCAGCTGAAAATCGTACGATTTTCAGCTGGTTTGAACGGTGCTCGGGAGACAAATGCCGAACGGGCCGGTGTGCGCACGTGCACACTGCCCGTTCAGCATTGGGGTCATCGGAATCCCGCCCCTCAGGGGAGCGGGCTTGCAATGATCGAGAGTACGATCTACCTGTCCAAGATGGGCAGATCATACGTTTTTTTAATTACTTTACAACCATCGCAAGACTAAGGTCTTGCGATGGTTGTAAAGTGTATGGCCACCTTTAGCCAGCATCCTTTCCTTAATGGCTGTGCACACCTGTGCAATTATCGAGTGCTGGCCACTGCTAAAGCCTGGACCCAGGACTAGGGATCTCATCTTTCCTTCAGAATCACCTTGAAACCTCCCAGTTCCAGGATCCCAAGCAGAATCCAGACAATCCCTTGCTTCCTGACACGTCTCAGCCCATCTGGCTGAGAGTCCCAGGTGATCATCACATCCAATTCTACAGTGGGATTGCCACACAATACCACAACATCTAGAAATGTTGACATGTAAAGTGTGGTAGAAATATATTCAGGAGACAAATCTTGCATTAGATCCTGTATAGCTACCAAAGACAAGATAAAGGTTTAATGTATTCTTCCCTATTCTTTTCTAAAGAGATCATACTCATGAGTCGCAAAGCAGAATGGCAGGACATCTTGCTCTTTTATAGTTCTTGTGTACTATCGGAAAGGTGGCCCTGTACACAGATTAGACATGATCATTTATCATTTTCCACCCCTATGCAATTTTGCATTAAGGTATCCAGAGATATTTCCTGCAGGATTTAATGGAAAACCACTTTGGCTAAACATACATGGAGTTCATGTGACCTTTATAGCAGTGACGTGCGGTACCTCTTGCTCGTGGTGAGCAAGAGGTACCGACCGAAGCCCCACCTCCTGCCGGTTGAAGCTCCGCCCCGTCGGTCCCAAAGCCCCACCCCAATCACTCCCCAAGCTAGTGTAATGGAGGAAGGGAGGAGACAGGGAGGAACCTCCCTTTCCCTCACTTGCTCCTCACCAATGAGGCTGCGTGACAGGTTACACAGCGGGAAGGATTTCCCTGCTGTGTAACCTGTTATATACCGATCTGAATGGAGAAAAAGTTAAGAGCACAGTTCCATGTCCTGTGACATCAATGTGCTCCCTAAAAATAATCAGTGCTTTTTTCAGCATCAGATCAGTGCTTTTGTCAGCATAATCAGAAAATGTTATTTAATGCATTTTTAGCATGCTTTATATATATATATATA